ATCATGATCATCGAGGAGATGAAGCAGTCCCTCGCAGTGGATGTTGCGTAGCAGCTTCCGACTGGCGAACACTTCTAGGCATGATCACTTAAGCACTGGATCACGAGGAATAATTAAACACTGAAATAGCAAGGAATACTTCAGAACCAAGACTGGGTTGAACACTGCACGTTGGCATACTAGGATGACAAGTATGTGCACGTAATCTTACAGTACAAAGAATCTGTAGTGCATGTTACGGTCCCCAGATGTTATCCTCAAATACATGAAAAATGGTGTGCAGCTGCATTTGCCTGCGCAACGTCCAAGGGTGGCGCGCACAACGCGACTTTCGCACAGTGCGTTGCATCGCAAACTCTCTAATATAGGCTGACCGTAGTTCGCAGAAGAGGGCATGGGTGACGGGTCAAATCTCGCGCTGACCGTAGCCGCGTGTCGCAGAATGAGTCCGCGAGGCCCGCCTTGTACAGTACTATACATTCGACTTTGCCTAGGTGGTGGGTCAAGGTCTGCGCTGGCCACATGAGCATCTCGCGGACAGAGTCCGCGAGGCCCGCCTTGTACAGTACCGTTGCATTCAGTTTTCCCTGGGTGATGGGTCAAGGTCTGCGCTGGCCACATGAGCGTCTCGCGGACAGAGTCCGCGAGGCCCGCCTTGTACAGTACCGTTGCATTCAGTTTTCCCTCGCAGTGGCTTCAAGCCATGGGTCAAGTGAGTACTAAGATTGAATGTCTTTTGGTCTGTCCAAACCCATCCCTGGTTTGGCAACGCGGAAAATTGTCTTAGACTTCCCACTAGTGTTGCAGAAGGGCACATTGACTGCCGTCAGCACACTGTTGAAAATACTGGGCCGTTGTACGAGGCGCATGGCATTACCAAGAAACTTCGGCCTTCCACCTACCCCTTCAGGGTTGGAGACTTCTACTGGACATTGTAGCTACAACCCCGATGAATCCTGAATCACTCGCTTTCTTCCTCCTCTTCCCTCACTGCCCCTCTTGAAAATGTATCTTCTCCTCGTAGCTTTGGCTTGTCATGGTACTCGCGCGCAAATCTTGGATTCATGGCAATCCAGGGTCCCCCACCAGTACTGTTCCGAGGGAGTGGCTCCATGTTGTCTGATTTCTTCGACACCCACATCTTCTCTACCTCGGTCCACGGTAGCCACCACAGTTCATCCAGCTTCATGCGTAGAGTAGTCCGAATGCGCTCTTGAACGCTGCTTTCCACAGATGACATTAGTATCCAATATTCCCTCCAGTATTCGGCCTTCAGGTAGTTCTGACCCTTCACCCTTCTCTCGGATGGGAATAAGTGCTTCCATCTAAGTTCCCACTGCTGAGGTGTAACGATCTTGTAGAGGCACTGATTGAACGGTAGTCGGGCAGTCTTGAAGAGTGCTTCGGTTGCCTCCTCTGTACGGATCTCTTTTGGAATGCTCAGGTAGCTCATTCCATGGGTGCCCTTCCTGTTCGGAGCCATGCCAATCACGTCCAGAAAGAGCTGGTCCAGGATCTTCTGCACCCGGACCGCAACATCAACAGCTGGTCTTGGTTCAGTCACCCCCAGAATCTCTCCGTTGACTGCTCCTCCCCCCTGCTCCACAATCGTGTCAATGTCTTCCCCTTCGGGCCTGACAGGGGGCCGCGTCCGAGCCCCTGCCAGTAAGTGTGGCTGTGGCAAGGTTGGTAGTGGTCGGCCTTCGTCTCGCAGCAGATCCACCGCCGGTGGTCCTCGTCTGGCATGATTATTGTTCCGCGTGGGGTTGACTTTTCCTGAGCCTCGCTCGGCTCCAGTCTTGCTGGCATTGAAGGTGAGTATGCGGGTCACTTCTGGTAGGTCAGCCTGGCCGTAGACTCGCCCGAGAAGCTCTGTGTTTATAAGCCCCGTTGACGGAATGCGATAGCAGTAGCTCCCAGTGTCCCAGACAACATCGCAGAGGTAGAACATGCCGAGTGATAGCATTGCTGGAATGGGATTCTGTGCATCCTGGGGGTAGTCAACATTTTCATCACCTTCTTCAGGCAGCTGGTAAGTGGCGCCGGCCATCAAGTCCCAAGCCTTCATCCATGGTGTGCGAAAGCAGCCATACCATATCCACATGGCTGCTGCCCCAAGGGTCAGCACGGTTGGTTGACATCTAACTTGTGCCGGTAAGGACAAATGGTTATCGAGAACCATGTAGCAAGCTGCCAATCTGTAATATTTCCATAGCCTGTCCAGTGGCATCAGTCACTGCCTCCACTGCAGTCTGGTCAGGAGGCTTACCACCAGTCCCTTGCAGCTACTTTTGCAAGGCAATGTCGTACAGTTGCAACCGAGAATGGGGCGGATAGTGTGTCGATGCCCAAGGACAAAGGCATGCGAAGTTCAACACGCGCACAACCTTCAGAGGCCTGTCTCCCATCACCACCAGCTGCAGCCATCATCCCCTCACTAATCCTTGCTAAGCCATTGAGGACCTTGTGATATGAGTCAGGGGACAGTAGCACAGATGGGAACTGCTCCGAATAAAGATTCTTGTGATTGGCATAGTGAAGGGCCTTCTCAGTGTGGTAGACTTGCATGTACAGAATGGGAGTTCTGTCCCTCTGCCTGAAGTCCACTCGGAACCCGGCCAAATCATGAGACAGCATGACTGGATCCATCTTGACTGTGGAGCGGAGAAAGCCTTCTATGTCTGGCAGCTGTGGTGCAACCTGGTCCAGGAGCTGGTCATGTCCAAGCTTGCGCCAAGCAACAACATGACCAGGAACTCCATACTCGAGTGCGACATCAACAACCCACTCTGCTTGATTGATCTTGGTGAGGTCCAGGATACCTGTCATTGCCGCCAAGCCCAGCTCCCGCTCAGCACGAGAGAATGACTCGTGCACGGTACTTCCTTTCCACCCTCGCAGCTCATGACTGAAGTAGGCACCACTGAACACTCCTCCAATCTCATCAAGGGATGTACGGAGTGTGGTTGAGAATGCATCAAGAAGATGGTCGGGAACATCGAGTGAACCCCAATGAAGTTGGCCTTTGTTGTCTCGGTACAGCGTCATGGCATGCTCATATGATCGCGGCCAATGGTTTGCCATGTTGCCGAGGACAGCGCGAGCAGCCTTGAGGACTCCATCATCATAGAATTTTGCAAGGTTGTCAGGACTGATGACCCGAGCAATGTCCCTCTGAAACATGCGGGGAAAGTGAACACGGACAATGCCTCGCTCAGCCACTTTACCAAGTGGGACGTTGGGTACGTGATGGAGGGGTATCTTGACATTCCACTGCAAAGGGAGTGTCATTCCTTGCATAACCAGCACAGAGTAGGAAAGACACACATTATTGTCATAGGCCAGGCCTCGGAGGTGCGTATTCTGTCTGAGTGTCTCCCGGAATGGTGGCAGAGGATACACACGCAGTGAGGACCTGTATGGCAAGGAATACGAGCATCCTAGAATCGAATCGTAATCCCTGCTGACTGTCACTTCCGCCGCAGTGACTGAACATCGAGGGTCTTGCAGGATATTCAAGTCGATTGACACTTGCGAGTCGCGGGGTCCGAGTCGTCCAGCTAGTACATACTTGATGAAGGCTAATTGGTCCTCTTGGCCACATAATCGCTGTGCCTCTCGAACCCACTGCCGCAGTGACCAAGTGGTCGCTGGGTCTTGTCGGTCATGAGGGTACAGAAACATTGCGGGATGTCGAGCTGAAAGATAGCTGTGGCTGTTGCTCTGAAGGGAGAAGAGAATACAGCAGCGTCACCTTTTAACCTGACGACTAGTCTGGCCTCATGTCTTCCTCATGTCCTGCACATTACTTGCATGTGCAGGACATGAGGAAGACATGAGGCTGCACGAGTACAGTCAACTCTGTGGATGCGCTGGACAAGGAGAGGACAAGAGGCTGGTGGAGATCCATTGACAAGGTGTGAAAAGCAGGGCTTGCTGAGTGTAGGAGAAGTTCATATACGACAGCTATCATATAATTGATTGTGTCACATTTGACGGAGGGAGGCATTAAATTGGCTAATAAGTCAGTACATGTCTTTCAATAGGTTCTATAGGAGTCCTAGATACATACCCCATGGTCAATTGGTATGAAGGAGTTTTCAGGATTTCGATCTGCAGCCACTACAATGAGGCACAGGGTGGTCCAGTCTATCCATGCGCGTGAGCAGCTCCCTTTAGTGAGAGGTTGTACAACCAGTGAGTAAACTCACGAAATTAGAGTATGTCTGCTGCGGTATATACCACAGCTCGCTAATCCAGGATTAGCTGATTCTTATGCAAAAATGCGCCGCACCTGTGGTGTGCCGGAGCCTTTCCCTATGCAAAATTGCGTCAGCGACTAATCCAGAAATTCGCTGGTATATAACCCACCAAAACTCCGCAAGCACGGCTACACTCTCAGCAACCCTGTGCCAACACTGCACAAGCTCGCGGAATCCGTCCGCGAGCACAGCTACACTCTCAGCAACCCTGTGCCAACACTGCACAAGCTCGCGGAATCCGTCCGCGAGCACGGCTACACTCTCAGCAACTCTGTGCCAACACTGCGCAAGCTCGCGGATGGATTTCGCGAGCATGGCTACACTCTCAATAACTCTGTGCCAACACTGCACAAGCTCGCGGAATCCGTCCGCGAGCACAGCTACACTCTCAGCAACTCTGTGCCAACACTGCGCAAGCTCGCAGATGGATTTCGCGAGCATGGCTACACTCTCAATAACTCTGTGCCAACACTGCACAAGCTCGCGGAATCCGTCCGCGAGCACGGCTACACTCTCAGCAACTCTGTGCCACACTGCGCAAGCTCGCAGATGGATTTCCGCGAGCA